GTATTGAGTGCTTGAAATGTGTATAGCACAACTGAGGGGAATGAAATTTTTAATTTAACAAAATTAATTAATTTGAATTAAATTCAAATAGCCACATCTGGGTGGTGCTGGACAGCACAGATCTAGTTCTTAAGAACATCTTCATTTTCATCAACTGATCTTTAATATTCTCCATATTTTTGAAACAGTAGGAGCCTACCTCTCTACATATTAGAAGCCGAAGATTATCCACAGAGACAAGAAACAGGTAATTGGCTAATATAGAGGAGTATCCAAGGATGTGTGGTTGAAGGAACTGTTGGGTGGTTTTAACACAGAGAAGACAATTTTGAGTTCTTTTATGCAGTGATGATCAGAAGGAAGTTTTCTCACCTTTACCACAGTGCACTTTGCAGCTTAAATGGGGATATTTAAGCCTTTCCTCCAAAGGGGCAGGGAAATGCTCAGGGAAGCCAGGGGATGGTTGGTGGTGGTTGGGGCAAGGGAAGAATGCCTGTTCCTCCATGTCTTCAGATTTGGAGCTTAATTGTTTTCCGGCCTGGCCTTTCCTCTCCAGCAGAAGGTATCATCTGCTATTTGGGACCAGTAGAAATTTAGCTGCATTGGTTCCATCCATAGTACCCACCACCAAAACTGCCTAGCCTGGCTTTCCAGAAAATCCTATAAAATTTGGGGGTACAATTTTGGAAATACCAAAATTCTTGTGCCTTTCCTCATCTGGATTCAAAGATCAGATCCCCATGTTCTAGCCACTTGTTCTCTTTCATTATCTGTATTCCCAGCAGTATCTGTATAATTCAGCATCCAGGATGCCTTTGGGCCACATCCTTTCCAACAATCTGCATCTTGTAAGTGCAATATATTCTTTTCCAGGAGATATTTGCTCAGAAGAGAAGCCAATAGTTTCTTCTTGTGCGGCTAAACTCGGTTTTGAGGTTGGACAAGGTTGTAAAAATGATCAGTTTCTTGAACCTGGAGGAAATGTGGAGTTTGAGTTCGTTAATGAGAGTGCGGACAGATACAGGTAAGAAGGGAAGCTGCTGATGAATTAAATACTGCTCCTACATAAAGAAAGTGTTTAGGATCCATTCTTTAAGTTACCTGAAATTTTATCAGTACCATGACTATTTTATGCACAGTCAAGTTGGTGTTTTAATTTCAACATACACAGAGTGCAGAGAAATAGGGGCACACAGAGTTTTGTCACTTCCCCTAGCATTTTCCAATTTAGTAAAAGTCCCAGATGGGTCCTGAAACTTGCCTCACCCCAAGTACTGCATCCAGGGATACAATGTTGTTTAAATCCAAGTGTTGGGCTCAGCGCCTGTGGCTCAAGTGGCTAGGGTGCCAGCCACATACACCTAAGGTGGCAGGTTCGAATCCAGCCCGGGTCCACCAAAACAACAATGACGGCTGCAACCAAAAAATAGCTGGGCGTTGTGCCAGGCGTCTGTGGTCCCAGCTACTTGGGAGGCTGAGGCAGGAGACTCGCTTGAGCCCAGGAGTTGGAGGTTGCTGTGAGCTGTGACGCCACAGCACTCTACCCAGGGGGATAGCTTGAGGCTCTGTCTCAAAAAAAGAAATCCAAGTATTGGTCTGTCCCCATCACAGCATCTTTCTGCATCCTTTCAGGGCCTACTTCCCCACTGCTGGCTCTTATCTGTGGTCAGCCGTGGGCATTGGTTTTGTGGTAGCAATGGAAGTGACTGTGAGGATTGCATTTGATTCCTGGGATCAGCACCTGGACCCCGTCCAGCAGCACCATGAACAGTGGCTGGTGGCCGGCCCCTTATTTGACATCACCACAGAGCCTGAGGGGGCTGTCACCGAAATCCACCTCCCCCACTTCATCTCCCTGCAAGGTAATGAGAGGTGTGAGGGGAGTGTGGGGACTCTGGGGGAGCATTCTGCCTATTTGCCCTGGTGGTTCTCCCACAGCCGGCGAGGTCGACGTCTCCTGGTTCCTTGTTGCTCATTTTAAGGATGAAGGGATGGTCCTGGAGCAGCCAGCCCGGGTGGAGCCTTTCTATGCTGTCCTGAAAAACCCCAGCTTCTCCCTGATGGGGATCCTGCTGAGGATCGCCCAAGGGACCCACCTCTCTGTCCCCATTACTTGTAACACGCTGGTCTATTATCACTACCACCCCGAAGATATTAAATTCCACTTGTACCTTGTCCCCAGCGACCCCGTGATGAGGAAGGTAAGGCCAACTGATTCGGAAGGTGGCAGGGGGTGGGGGGGCGACGGTGTGTACTATATTTCCAGGTCATCACCTTGTTCTTTGCAGCCCCCTGTGCAACAGAAGGGTCAAGGCTCATTTTTCCTAGGGAGAAGCATGAGTCATCCTCCATGAGGCTGATCCCTAGGTGCTGACCCTTGAGCCATAGGCAACGATCTCCAGTAGAAATTCAGGGCTACTGAAAAGAGAGCTCTCCTTCTGTGACTATGAGGGAGAAGGAAAAGGAGGAGACTTTGGGGGGTTGGCAGAAGAAATAAGATGCAGAGATCCCAGCATCAAAATATAAATGGATAATACTCAATCACACGTGCACACACACACACACACACACACACACACGTACCCTTGGAGTCACTCTCCTGTTCAGTGGCATCTCCCTCAAATTCATTTGTGAAAGGCTGACATTCCCCATGCACTCTCCTGGGTTATGACAAGGCAGATGTGCTGGTCCCTGCCGCTGCACAGCTACTGTGTCCCTCCATAAAATGCTGCTCTGTTTCCAGCCATGATGGGAAGATCACTCCAGGAAAGTTTCATTAAATTTTGCTGCCCTGGTGCTTAATGCCCCCACACTGCAATAACAAGAGGCAGAGGCATGCCTGGCCGTATTTAGGGTGGTGAGTAACTGTGGGTACTTAAAATGCAGGAGAAAAGCTTTTAATGTGGATGCTAAAGATGACCATTCCCACAATGTGCAGGAAGTATAGAAATTCCAGCAAATTCTTATGTGACTTTTTTTTTCATTCTGGGCTCACTCCAGTTCTTGGCCTTGACCTGCTGTTTCTTCTTCTTTTCTCATTGCCAAATCTGATGTGATCACTTGCTTCATATCTTATTGATGCACTAGAAACAAAATCAGATTGAAAATGACCTCATCGTTATACCAACACTCTGTGAGCCTTTCTGCACCATCATCACCTCTTTCATTCCGCTATAACCAAGGAAGTCACCCTTTTCTTATACAAGGCCATTAGTTAAAATATGTCCTGGATTCCTTTCCCTCTTGCTTGTCCTGGGAGACACACCCTGAGGTATCTCTTCTCACCGCCACCATCAGTCTTTCCTACCCTAGGGCTAGCAGGACAGTCTAGACTAGCTCCCACATGGCAAAAGCCATCTTGGCCATTCTTCCTTCTCAAACCACAGTTTCAATTTTTCTCCTGTGTTATTCAGGGATCAACAGCTTTATGTACTGGAAGTTTCTGTATTCCCCTTTTCTTTCTTTCTTTCTTTTTTTTTTTTTTTTTGAGACAGAGTCTCACTTTGTTGCCCTCTGTAGAGCACTGTGGCTTCACAGCTCACAGCAACCTCCAACTCTTGGGCTTTGGCAATTCTCTTGCCTCAGCCTCCTGTAGCTGGGACTACAGGCACCCACCACAATGCCTGGTTATTTTTTTGTTGCAGTTGTCACTGCTGTTTTTTAGCTGACCAGAACTGGGTTCGAACCTACCACCCTCAGTATGTGGGGCAGGCACCCTACCCACTGAGCAACAGACACTGCCCTGTATTGCCCTTTTCTCACTCTCTCCCCAAATCCCTCTATCTGGATTACTTCACCACCATTCCTTAAAACAGAGGGTAACTCTGTTTAAGGTCACCCACTGAATTCTGTATTAAATAATTCTGCTGAGGTGAGTGGATTGCTTGAGCTTGGTAGTTCAAGACCAACCTAAGTAAGAGTGAGAGCTGGCCTCTACTAAAAATAGAAAAACTAACTGGGCATAGTGGTGAGTGCCTGTAGTCCCAGCTACTTAGGAGGCTGAGGCAGGAGGATTGCTTGAGAATTTGAGGTTGCTATGAACTATGAAGATGCCACAGCACTCTACCCAGGGCAACAGAGTGAGACTCTATCTTTAAAAAAATAATAATTCTTACCTTCAATTCCATAGACTGATATCATCCTTGAGTCAGTGCTCTCTAGGATCCTATGATGCCATATTTCCCCAATTTCTCTGTGACTGTTCTTAAATTTTTTTTTTGTTTGTATGAATTTGAGGGGTACAAGTGCAATTTTGTTACATGAGTATCTATATAAAGGTGAAGTCTGGCTTTTAGTATAGCTATCACCTGGATAATGTGTGTTGTAGTCATTAACTATTTTCTCATGAACCCTTCCCACTCCCCCAACCCACTGCAACTCCATTGTCACTTTACAGTCTATGACCATGTGTACACATCACTGATTTTCCACTTATAAGTGAGAACCTGTGGTATTTGACTTATTTGACTTTCTGAGTTGTTTCGCTTAAGATAATGGGTCCCATTTCCATCTATGTTGCTTTAAAAGACATAATTGCATTATTTTTAATGGCTGAATAGTATTCCTTTCTGTGTCTATACACCACTCATTTTCATTATCCACTCATCCATTGGTGGACACTTGGTTGATTCCCTATCTTTGCTATTATAAATAGGGCTGCAATAAACATATGAGTTCTTCTATCTTCCTAACATAATTTCTTTTACTTTGAGTAGCTATCCAGGGGTGGGATTTCAGATCCAATGGTAGTTTTTAGTTTGCTGAGAAATTTCCATATTGCTTTTCATAGAGGTTGTATTAATTTACATTCACACCAACAGTATACTGGTGCTCCCTTTTCTCTGCATCCTCAGCAACATCTGTATTTTTTGACTTTTTAACCCAGACGTCATCCAGGTGAGTGTTATTTACTTTCCATGTACTTGTATAGCTTCCAGAGTTCCTCTCAATTTATGGAGATTTGTTTTGTTATCTGACCCTTGTTATCTAATCCTCTCAGGATTAGAAACGTTATAACGTTCTAATTATAACAGTCATCATGTTAAGCCCTCATTTGTCAACTTTTCTGGATTAGGTGTTTGCTTTTTGAATGTTTCAGTTTGGTACTTTAGGACCTTTACCAAAAGGGCCTAAAAAATAGTCTGTCTTGGAGAATGTTCCATGTGCTGATGAGAAGAATGTACATTCTGCAGTTGTTGGGTAGAATGTTCTCTAAATGTCTTGGGTCCATTTGGTCTAACGTCCAGTTTAAGTCCAGTGTTTCTTTGTTGATTTGATGTCTTGGTGATCTGTCTAGTGCTGGGGGGGGGGTATTAAAGTACAATATTATTGTGTTGCGATCTATTTCTTCCTTTAGGTCTAATAATGTTTGTTTTATAAATCTGGGTCTCTGGTGTGGCATGCTTAAATATTTCGGGTTGTCACATCTTTTTGTTGGATCAATCCTTTATTATTATATAATGCCCTTCTTTGTGTTTTTTTGAACTGTTTTTGATTTAAAGTCTGTTTTATCTGATACAAATATAGCTAGCTACTCCTGTTTGCTTTTAGTTTCCATTTGTGTGACTACCCTGTTTGGCCCCTTTCATTCCTCACCTATTATGTATCTGTACAAGTAAGATGAGATGCATGTGAGCAACATATAATTGGATCATGATTTTTTTCCCATTGTTTTTATTTTTTAAAAGACATTTTATGTTCAATGTAGGTAAATTTAAAGCAATTTAGGTAAAATCGAGTGGAAAGTACAGTGAGTTCCCCCCACCTTCAGCACACACAAAGTCTCCCCCCACTATCAATATTCCTCCCCTGAGGGGTACATCTTTTATAATAGATGATCCTGCATTGACGCATCCTTGTCACCTAAAGTACATAGCTTAGGGCTGATTGTTAGTGTGGTACACTCAATGTGTGCTGACAAAGGTATAATGACACGTATCCACCATTACAGCATCATACAGAGTAGTTTCACTGACCTAAGATTCTTCTGTGCTCCACCCGTGTATCCCTCTGCTATTGTCAGACCCCAAGCAACCATTAACTTTTTTATTGTCTCCAAAGCTTTGTCTTTTTCAAAATTCATATAGTCGGAATGATGCAGTCAGTAAAGCCTTTCAAATCGGCTTTTTTCTTGTAGTAATACACATTTAAGTTTCCTCCATGTCCTTTCATGGCTTGATAGTCAGTTTCCTTTTAGCACTGAATAATACACCATCATCTGAATGTGTCACAGTTTATCCTTTCACTTACTGAAGGACATCTTAGTTGCCTAAATGTTTCGACATGTATGACTAAAACTACTATAAGCATCTATGCGCAGGTTTTTGTGTGCATGTACGTTTTCAATCCTTTTGGGTAAATAGCAAGGAGCATAATTGCTAGATGGTATGGTAAGAGAATTTTAGTCATCTGAGAAGTGCCAAACTATCTTCCAAAGTGCCGGTATCATTTTTTATTCCCATCAGAAATGGATGAGAGTTCCTGTTGGTCCATATGCTCGCCAACTGTTGGTATTATACTACCCGCATTTTAAGTACTTAACAGCCACAGTGGACAGTCAAACACACAATGTGTCCATCATCACAGAAAGTTCTACTGGAAATGCTTCTCTGTTTAAAGTTGGTTATACCGTAGGAAAAGAGGAACTAATGTGACAGCTTTTTTTTTTCTCCTCTGCATAAATGCATCCCTACTACCATTGGGTTTGGATGGTTCTTTGTTTATCCATATTTGCTCAAAAATTCAAATTCCTTTTCTGCTACTTCTTAAGCAATGTGCCCATTAGCATATTATTTAACCCCTCAGACTTTCAGTTTCTCATCCTAATTACTCATTAAGGATAAGTGTTAAATTAGACAACAAAGGTCAGATAAATTATGACGTTCATCATGTTAAGCCCTCATTGGTAAACTTTTCTGGGTTAGGTGTTTGCTTTTTGAATGTTTCAGCATGGTACTTTTAGGACCTTTACCAAAAGCAAAAGCTAAATATATATTTACCCAATCTGGAATTTTGTAACCCCAAAGTAGACTTGCTGCTTCTATCACCATAACATATTCATTTTCATGTATATATTCCAGTATAGCCAACATTCAGATACTCAGCGGCAGGACAGTGGACTAAATGTCTAACACTGTGATTAAGTAAGTGAAGTGAAAGCTACGTTAATTAGTAGGATGTAAGCACTCCAATTTGTACAAAT